GGGGGAGGGGGATGCAGCGAGGGTGTGAGCATGGTCAGAGGCCAAGAGGCGCCAAGCCGCAGACACCGGGCACAGAGCAGGGGGAGTGCGGGGGGGGTACCTCAGGGCAACAACGTCACCACGACGCAAATCGAACGGGCCGCACCGCCGCACAAGGACGACATCCCCACGACGGATGTCCGGCTGTCATCGGTCCGGAGGCCCGGGCGGGGGGGGAGCGATGCAAGCACCTGTCAGCACTCAGATGCCGGGTGCGGAAGGGCCGAAGGGGCAAGTGGCCGAGATGGCACATGCACGTACCGCCAGGGCATCATCCCGGGCAAGGGTCACATACGCGACATTGTCGGCGACATAGAGCGTAAAGAGCCCAGCCAAGAGTGACGAAAAAAGGTACTTCCCGAGGGGCTGTGACACCTTCCGCAGCATCGGGGGGGGGGGGGAGGCAGGAGGAGAGAAGCTGACGAAGGAGAGCACAGCGGTCGTCCCGGGGCAAGGGGGGTGTGGGACAGAGAGGGAGGGGGGGGATAGAGCGGGCGAGAGAGGCAGCAGGTGGAGAAGAGAGGGGCGGGGGGCTGCGGAGGAAGGGTGAGAGAAGGGACACCGGGGAGGATCGTGCTGCCGCCGGCTCGGGACGGCGCCCGGGCAGTTGGGACCTACTTGATTGAGGAGTCCCTGTAATGTGCGGGTGCTCCACATGTGCGGCTCGGTGGGCGACACATAGGTCTCATCGTTGGATGCCACCGGCCGGCTGGGGGCCGGGCGCCTGGGTGTTGGTCACGGCGCATGGGGGGATGCGCGCGCGTATCCAACGTTGGAGAGATTGCGGCCGACGATTGGATGTCCCGCCGGACGGCCCGGCGATGTCGGCCCCGGGAGGGGCAAATGACCACGAAGCGTCCTGATCCGGGCCCGAGGATTCGGGCCACCCCCCTCCTCCTCCCGAGGGGCCAGCCAGGCAGACCTCCATAGGGTGTGAGTGCGTGAGCAGCGCCAGCATCTCAACAACGAGAAATCGCCAGGTCCAGCAGGACTCCCCGGGGCCCAAGCCACAGCTGCAAGGGCCGGAGAAAGGGCGCGCCTCTCTTCTGGCATGAGAGCCACAAGAGAGGGAGGGACAGAGAGAGAGAGAGAG